CAGCCCCCCTACCACTAGGTCGGGCCCTCACCTTTGTTCATGAAGATTTCTGCATCAGCCTCCTAGCTTGCGTCCCTGCTTTACCTTACCACTTTCCCAAGCCTTGAATATACAGACATTTCTAGATCCTTCTAAAAATCACTGCAACTTGCCCATCCCACACACTTCCTGCTTACCAGCAAAAATTAACATGGCGATAATCTTGCAGTACTGCAGAAGCAAACACAGGGGATGTATGGATGACTCATTTAAACCTCATACATGTTTTAAAGTCTAGTTGTTGGAAACTCTTAAGCCAAAACACATCCCTGGTATAAATACGCATCATCACTTCACAGTTCAAGGTTAACAACCAGGCAAGTCATGTTAACCGAATGATGAGAAAACCCAGCTCACAGTAATGGATAATTTAACACCTAGATTCCTAGCCATTAAAAACTGGCACAAATTTAAGATGGTGCTGATATTGCGCTGTTAGAGAGCCATTTCCAAGAGTGGTGAGGATTCCAGAGGTCTGAGTCTGTGCTTCATAAAAGCCTGAATGTTCCAGTACCAAGCATGGCAGGGCAGCCGGACACCCAGTGGAATACAAAGTAGAGTCATACATAGACTCCAGCAAGCAGTAACAACACCCATTACATTTCAGTAACTTTTAATTGCATCTCTGTGATCACTGGGAGATAGCGGATAGTCATACCTTTAACTTGGGAGTCCGTAGAACTTTGAGTCCCACACCTACAGGACCTGTGTGCCTGAACTGGATCACTGCCATTCAGGAGAAGCCTCAGAGGTAGACACCAAGCCTACAGAATCCCTACTGTAAAAGATGAATCTAGTCCAGTAACTCCCTTGTGTAAAATTCCCCAGGGGAGTTCCACTGCAGTATCTGGCCCTGCCACCTCCCAGCCCCAATCCCACCCCACCCCACCACTGCCTTCAAACACAGCGGCCATAGCAGGTCTCTGCATGGTTCTCCTGAGCCCCCATCCACACAGCTGTCTGAAATGCCGTTTCCACCTCATTTCTCTCAGTCCCTCAGCTTGGCAAACTCCTTCTTCAAGACCCATGTTAAGGTCACATACTCCTGAAAGCATTTCACAACTTTGCAGTCCCCAAGGAGAAGGAGGAGCTCTTCCCTGTGCTCCATGACACCTGGTGATACCACCACGGTGCCGCACACTGTACTGAGATCACCTCGTCTGGCATTCCCACCACACTCATCAGTGACCTACCACGTTGGCACTATAAGCATTTCAAAAGTCAAGTTCATAGACAAGTTGTCTTAAGCTGAGGCCACAGTACATCAAAAATAAAGTTGGAATTTCAGTATTCCCATTAAATACCTTGAATGGAAGTCCTGCAGAGGATGGAGGAGTGTGTGCTGTGGTGTGTGTGTATGTGTGTGTGTTTCCACAAACTTACATACAGAAGTAAAGCTCAAGGCTAAGTTAAGGAAAGCAAGTAGGTTTCAGGACAAGAGAAATGTGTTTAAAATGGAAAGCTGTGTAGTAATCTTTAGTTTCTTAATTTTCCCACTTTTAGAATGTCCATCTTTTCTCTTCTACCAGCCTGGAACCAAGTTCATTCATGATTCCTGAGCTAAAATACTGCATAGATCTTTATACCCAAGTATTTGGTTGGGGGGGGATAAACAGCTACTTGGAGAGTAACAATGGGTATTAGAATTTCAACTCATTACCTATTGGTTATTTACTTATTAAGGTTCCAAATGAAACAGTGGTCACATCTGTGTTTTAAGAGTTGATATTTTGGGGTTTAGAGGAACAAATCCCTCCCTGTATCATGTCCAAGAACACAATATCCATTCTAAGTACACCTTTGCCAGTCTGACAATTATTTTATTGCATTTGGAAAACCATTGCAATCTACCAAGAAAGTTAAGAATGAAGGGGAAAAGGTCTCAAAAGTGACTTCAATGGGACGTCAGCAATGCTGTGGGATCTCTAGCTGGGCCTGGGACCCAGACAGTGCCATCCTCTCCAAGGGCCATGCTGGGCTCATGGGATTCATCCAAGTCCAGGAGGAGGTCACTGACAGGTTTGAGCAAGGGAGTGAAATGATGTGACAAGTATTTTTAAAGCTTACTCTGGGTCCAGAGTGATGGTCAGAAGAGATGGAAAGTGTTAGCAGGACCACTGGTTCAAAGGCCTTTGCAGTACCCTAGGCAAGTGGTGATGCCACTGGACATGGCAGGTGGACGCGGGAGGGCAACAGAATGAATTCAAGATCTACTTTAGGAGAAGAATTGTTTGGACTTGGTCATGTGGAAGGAGGGAAAGGTGAGTTTAACAGACAATTCCCCGGTTTCTGGCTTGCAAAAGCACATTAACAACTGAGCACCTAAATGAGATGGGGGAAGGGAGGTCTGGAAAGGTGCTGTGGTAGAAGACCATGAAATAAAATTGGGCCCTATTAAGTTGGGAGTGCCCATGAGAGATATATGTTTGCTAACTGCTATCCAAGGTATAAACAGTGCTTCAGAGCACAGAGGAGTCATGTGGAATGACAGTTGCCCGGGCCCTTCTCACTGTGACCCTTCTTGCCCGCTTCCCGGGGTGCTCGGATGTCCGCTGCCATGCCAACTCCAGGTGGGTGCAACACATGAGGAGGACCTTATGGGGTCAAATTCAGCCAGGACACATGCAGGCTGCTTCTCTGATGACCCTCAGTAGTAACACAAACACCAATTTGGGGCTAGGAAAACAGTAACAGTAAGATGGTGTTTGCATCACACACCAGTGAGAACTACAGTAGGTAGCACGGTATTTTCTTCAGTTACCAGCATCATATTAGGTTTGCAGATTTCTTGACATGGATGTTTCCATGGAGTGCCAGTGGAAGGGTCTTGGTATCTAGTCCTGTGCTCCACAGTCACACCACTGGGAGCCACATCTGTTTGGAGGATTCCAAGTTAGGGCCCCCCGAGGAAAATGTCGATCTAAGGTGGCATCAGATGCAGTGGAAGGTCTCTCTCTCTCTCAAAAAAAAAAAAAAACAGAGAAGAGGGCCTAGTTTAAGAAAACGATGACTCACTCAAATCACAGGCTGCTCTGAAGTTATTATGCCTCCTTCTGGACCAGACCCTGGTTTCCTATCCAGGATGGGTCTATTTTCCAATTCCCCCCACTAAAGGACAAATCAAAATGTCATTGAACAGTCTGCTTTCTAATTAAAAGTTGAGCCATTCTTTAAAAATCGCATTTAACTAAACAACCCCACATGGCAGCAAAGTGCTGTGCCCTGCTGCCTTGACGGGCGGAACCGTTTACAATTACTCTGACAAAGAGGAAGGGAAGGAGCATCATTTGATACAGCTAGACTAAGCTGATCCAGCCGCTGTCGGTGGTGCTCATCCAGCAAGACAGTGCGGCATTAGGTAAACTAATTAAATTTTCTGCATTTATATAAGCCCTAACAAAAACAAACCTGACAGGACAGACTGGGAGGTCTCAGGAGGAGGACATCTGCTTTTTCAAGACAGCGGCCAGGCTTTTGTGGCAGGGGGCAACACCAGGGTCAGATTGCATCCCTCAGCAGAAGGTCAAGGCTCCCCTCCCTGGGGACACTGGGAGTGGGGAAGAGACAGAGCCCCCAGGGGTTGTGACAGCACCAGTGGCTTCCAGGGGGTGCAGAGCAGAGAAAAAAAAAACCACCATCACACTGGAGATGTGACCCAGCGTGAGACATCTGGCGGCTCTGAGCCTGCTTCCTGGCTAAAAATGATAAGTTACCATTTGCCCCACTGGTTTCCTAGGACTGGTAGGAGAAGCAAACATGGCGATATGTGCAGAGGTGCCCTATAAAAGGGGGATAATTCCAGGAATGTAAGCACCAACTGCTGCTTACTGTTGGGGAAGGAAAGGCTGGGATGAGTCTTCTAAAGGGATGGTGGCCAGCCAAACCAGTGAAATTAGTAGGAAACTCCCTTGGGCTAGTCAGCAGCTACAGTAAGCAGTTTGAGAAAAGGAACCTGCTGGCTCATTCATACAAAGCAAAAACCTGTCAAGCAGGGAGGTGGGTTACGATGCACCATCCACTGAAGAAAGCAGCTCAGAATGTCATATAGATGGATGGAGAAAGGGGGTCTGCTATCCAGCAGACAGGAGAGGCGCCGTGGCCACAGCAAGACCAACACTCCACCTCATGCAACCCCCATCTGACGCCAGCCTCAGGAGGCACAAGCAGGCTGGGGAGCCAGCAGGCCCCCATGGTCACTGGTTTCCCCACCTGCCTGTCACTTCCCTTCCTTTCTAGTTTCTGGATGACTGTCCTCAACATGGGCCCAAATTACCCATGAAAAAGAAAATCAGACTCAAAAGCTTTACTATTAGCTTCATTTCACTAACAGCCAAAACACAAAGGACAACTAGAAAAGATTAGCAATTCCTGACGAATGCACAAAGAACAGAATCGATTTGAGAATGATCTATAGTATTGGCGGGTGGGGGGACGTACAAAGTGAATCCACACCGGAGCTGGCCGTCCACTGGGGGAGGCTGAGTAGACACTGAGGGAGCATCTACTAAATCCCAGGCACAATTCAGCCAAGCCCTCAAGAAGCCAACTGGGCTGAACAGCAAACAGGCAACTAGAACCAAGGGTGGGGGTGCTAGGAAGGGGAAGGGGAAGGAGCCCCTACACTCAACACAGCCATGGGAGAAGAACGGTCAGAGGAAGGGCATGAAAAACAAAAGAAAACCCTTTGGAGCACATGGCACTTAGGAGACAGCCTTCTAGGGGTACAAAAGCAAGAGGAAGCACTGCCAGCCAGGAGGGAATCAAAAGGCTTCCATTTCCAGGAAAGTGGCATTTAATAAGGCCTTGAGCGACAGACAGGAACTTGGCCAGGCAGAGAGGAGAGGTAAGATATTCCATACAGAACTGGGCATGTTGAGACTGACAGGGACAGTAATCCCTCCCCAAACGTGGGTTTCCCTTATAAGAGAATTAGAGTAGGTAACCAATTTACTTCTGTTTACCTTTTCTCCAACTTTAAAAGCTGATGCTGCAGTAGGTTCAGCAAACTGATGTCCAATAAAGGTGACTTGAGTTATTCCTGTTGAGAAATCAGAAGAAATACAATAGGTTTGGAGGGGCTACCCTACTCCTCCACACACTCCTTTCTGGGACACCCTCCATCCAGGCTATGCTAAGAGGACAGGGCTCCCCTCCCCCAAATGGCTGGCTTGGGGATGGACACTCATCTCCATCAGCCACACTGCCTGCCCCTCTTTCCCTCATTTGGGAACAAAGACATGCAAACTTAGGCAGGCAGTGGAGAGCTCTGATGAGAGAAACACACACTCACACACAGGCGGGAGGCGGGGGGGAGCGTGCAGCCCCTGAATTAGAAGGGTCTTCCTGCTCCCACTCCAGCAGGCTGGTCTAGCTTGGCTCCCTGAGTTCCTGAGATTCCTGCAACAGCCCTTTGCCAACTTAAGCTGGCATGAGAGCCTTTCTGCTCCTTGCAACCAAAAATCACTGATTTAAGAATAAGAGATCCAGGGCTGGGATGAGAAAAAGAAACAAAAGTAGAGTGTTAGTGAACCACAGGCTTCTGAAACACAGCGTTGGGAAAAATAAAAGATGAGAGAAAGTGACCTGGGCCTCTGAACTGCTGTCCCATCATGTCTGAGAGGGAAGGGAGAGAGAGAGAGATGTGTGAGACCCAGCGGGTAGACCCAACAATAATTCACAAAATCCCAGGGACTTTCAACTTTGAGATGGAGGCCCAGATACTGCGTGGGGGAAGGGGCTCCTACTATGGGCATTTTCCATAACAAAACAAAATAAATAAGGACTTTATTGAGAATACAAAGGTGAGAGACTCTGAAAAGTGTCAACAGCAAACAAGGAATATCGTTGTTACTAAAGCAAGAGGTATTAATAATTCAGAGATTAATCTTAATTAGCTGTGCTGCCTTTTTGGGGCTGTTAAACAATAAACATTGTATTTACTCATGTTCTGGTGGGTCAGCAATTAATGCTGGGCTCAGGGGATGGTTTCTCTTCTAGTCCTGCCTGGATTGCCCGTGTGGCTACAGTCACCTGGTAGCTCGGTCAGGCTGGCTGGTAGACCAGATGACCACTCACACCCTAGTGACTGAGACAGGCTGTTTGTGATGCCTTATTGGTAAAATGTGAACTTCTTTTTTCCCCTTGAGCTCTTCAAAGATTTATGCTCATTATCCCCTTGCCATATTTTGCCACTGGTTCTAGAGTTGATCGACCATGAACTCAGCTATTGAAGGGCTTCAAGAATCTAACCTCTTCTGATCCCCTCTCCAAGGAAGCAACAATTTGGGTAAAGTTCAGAGGTATGTGAAAGGGAGGGGTGGGAAGCAGGGCAGGAAAGAAGGTTCTTAAGGGGGCCAAGCTGGATGGACTTCAGTCAAGCAGAGTACGTCAAGATGACTTGTAGGCTAATCCCATATTCTCTAAGAGAAAATTACCACTCAGAAAACATAGAAAGCTGAAATTGGGCTGCAGGAGGAAAATAGACCCGAAACCATAAGACTGAAACAGTCAGCTCAAATTAAGTCAATAGCGAGCTGTGACCTTTACTCCCAACAGGGTCCTTGGCCTGCTGCTACTGGCTCATAGCTGCTCATAGCTTCACAGTTCTCCTGACTTGCAGGCTGTGCAAGCAACTCGGTGCTCCCGGGCCTCCGGGAGCATCAGCTCTCACTCACCAGGGTACAGAACAGGGAAGCAGCTGGCAGGCAAAACAGGCTGAAGGGCAGCTCTCCTGTCCACTCACCCCACACCTGGCCCCCAGGAGGCTGCTGGGGCCACATCGCGTCAGCCCACTGCAAGCAGCAGAGGCACCCATACTCTCATCGCAGCCCCCCCAGTCCCTCTCTGAGTCTGTTCCCTCACCCGTCACACAGGGAGGGAGACGACCAGGGGTACTCCATGGGTGGTCTGCAAACCGGGGCCCCAGCCATCAACTCTTTGCCATTGGTTCATGGCAAGGTAAGTACAGAAATTAAGAGAAGCTTAGAAGCATTTATAGTGTCTGATATTACACATACAGCCAAGCACGTTTGGTGGAACTGTCTTGCTGAACAGAGACTGGTACGTGAGTTTCCTGAAGCTGCCATAATAAATGACTACAAACCGAATGGCATAAAACAACAGAAATGTGTGTGTCTGTGTTTGTGTGAGTGAGAGAGAGAGAGAGAAATCTCCCTCTTCCTCTCATAAAGCAATTAGAGTCCACCTAGATAATCCAAGCTGATCTTATCTAAAATCCTTATCTTAATCCCATCTACAAGGACCCTTTTTCCAAATTAGGTAACACATTTTTGGGATTGCCATTTAGTCCACTACAACCAGTTTGGATATTGCTGACTTTGTGTGGCCAGGTGTACATGGCATACCATGTACACTCACATCAGCTCACCACTGCAGGGAGAAACCACTACGCTTTCACTCGGTTAGGACCCCTGCTCTTCCTCTACAGCCTAAGGGCCTGGGCTGGGCAAATCCAGACGCCAGTGAGCACCTCCCGGGAAAGGAAATTGGGCTAAGGTGGCAGGGGCGAAAAGAGCAGGGGCAGACTGTTCCCTCAGCCCTTCCCAAGGCTGTCTCTCCTCTCATCTGTTGGGCAGTGCAGGCACTATCCCCTTCTCACCCCATCTCCTTGTCCTTCACATGGTTTTAATTGTAAAGTGATTAATTTGTTTTCAGTTCAAGTGTGTTTCCCTCATCTCATCAAATGCTTAGAGTTTTCAATGTCCAAGTTTGAGAACAGAAAAAAAAAAAACTGTTTTATTAAAATCTTTGTGCACCGAGCACTGCCCTGCTACTTACATATCCTCTCCCCCAACACCCCTCCCTGGAACCTCAAACACATTCAAGAAGTTTCCAGGCTTCATAACACAATGGTGAAGGCCCACGGAGACTTGACATGCAAGGATTTCATTTCTCCTTAGCCATGGTCTGGCCTTGCAAGAATATTCCTTGCTAAAGGAACCAGGGTGACTCTCTTTGTTATGTTACATTTCAGCCTTAAATGGCAGACCACGCCAAAATGCACAAGAATGTTTTAAATTGTAAAGCTTTATGCAAGCTTGGCCATAGTGAAACGGACACTCTCATCACTCAACTGCTCGTAGGGGCGTAATAGGCACAATCTTTCTGGAAAGCAATTTGGCAAATTCTTATTAAGAGGTTTAAAACTGTATGCACCCTTAGACGCTGTAATCCCATTTTCAGAACTCTACACTAAGGAATGAATCTGAAATGGGGGCAAAACTTAATGCTCAGTTATCCATGACAGTGTGATACACAGGATAAAAAAACTAGAAATAAATTTAACAGACAACAAAAGGAAATGTTAAGATAAATTACGGTACATTCATAAATAGAGATTTATGCAGCCATTAAAATGATATTTTACAAACAAGTTTTAATAAAAACAATAATAACAGCTAATGCTTACATGGGCCAGGCACTCTCCTAAGCTTTATCAAGTACTTTACGTATATTAGCCCTCTTAATCCTTATACCAACTCAGCAAGATAGGTACCGGTATTATCCCCACTGCACAGATCAGAAAATGGAAGCATAAAGGATGAAGACACCCAGGGCTATCTTGCCAGGGAGATAGCAGTAGGATTTGAGCCCCGCACTCTGGCTCCTAAATTCATGCTCATAAGCCCTGTGGTAGGCTGACTAATGGCCCACAGATATCAGGTCCTAAGCCTGGAACCTGCAAATGTTACCTTATATAGAAAAGGGGTCCCTGTAGATGTGATTAAGATGAGCATCTTAAGATGAAGAGATATCATGGACCATCTGGGTGGACCCTAGATGCCATCACAAGTGTCCTCCTATGAGAGGCAGAGGGAGATTTCACACACACACAAGGAAGGCATATGAAAACAGGGCCGATATTAGAGATGGGGGCCACATGCCAAGAAATGCCAGCAGCCACAAGAAGCTGGGAGGGGCAGGGAACAGATTCTCCCTAGAGAGATAGGAGGGAGCCCAGTCCTTCCTGTACCTTGATTTGGACTTCTAGCCTCTAGAAGTATGACAGAATAAATTTCTGTTGTTTTAAACCACCCCAGGTTTTGGAAATTTGTAACAGCAGCTACAGAAACTAATGAAGTTCCTGTGCCGTACTGCTCTGAATGCAAGAGAACATATTCCCATGTTAAATGGGAAAAGTAGAAATGAAAATTTTCATACAATGATCTTAATTATGCATATAAAAATGCATGCAAATACAACAAAATGTTTTGTACTGATTATCTCTGAATACTAAAATTATGGGTAATCTTCAGCATTATGCCTTCTGATATTTTTCCAAATTTCTACAATTAGTGTGAATTATTTTTACAAAGAAAACTAAAAAATAGCAACTCATGATATTTCTGCAAGTCTAACTCAATCACAAAAATTAGAAATCAAGAGGACCAAAATTCCCTGAGAAGTTTAATTCAATCTCAGAGCACCAGAAAAATCAGCAACCCAGATGCACGCCTCTCTCCAAATGGCTCCACTCAACCCTCAGCTTCTCCAAAGCCTATTAATTTTCAGACTCTGGCCCGAACATGATGTGGCTGAAGGAGTTTCAGGCTTTGAAACAAGAGGATAATCTGAGCTGGCAAACATTTTCCTGTCTATCCATGGAGGCGGTTGTAGGGGGAGTATGTGTGCTGGGGTGGATGGGAGGCATTCATGCATTCCTCAAGCTCATTCAGCCCAACACGGTACGGGACACATGCCAAGAAGCAAAAGCACTGGTTAATACACATGCAAATGTTTGATTTCTCTGTAGGTGACTTCCCAGAATGAAACACTTCAGATTAATCATTGGCTTAATCTTCTTACTAAAGCCTGACTCCAAGGCCATTCTGCTGTAAAAGCCTCCTGTTATCATGTGTCCAGGCAGTTGGAAGACCAAAGGCCAATTCTGCTATATCAACATCATGTCCTTTGATTAAAAAAGTCATAAACAGTGTATTGACATTTCCCCCCAATGGGTGGGCAGTACTGGATCCAAATAGAAAGCAGGGTGTGCTCTGTTTGGCATAGAGGAGAAGG